CCAAAACCCATCTGTTCCAGCTGTAATAACATGAATTGTCAAATGCCTTCTGTGCATCTAAGAATACCAAAGCCATTTGTTTTTCAGGGTGCGCCTTGTAGTATTCCAAGTGTCCAAAATTACTCTCATATTGTCTTTAATTTGTCTCTTTGGCAGAAATCCATTTTGGTCAGAGTGAATAAAATTATTTAGGTATTTTTTAAGTCTTTCTGCCAATATTGAAGCAAAAATTTTACAATCTGCATTTAGTAGGGAAATAGGTCTTGATTCTTGATTTGTATATAGGTCTTGATTCTTGATTTGTAATGAGTTGGCCTCCTCTTTTGGGATAAGTGTAATATAAACTTCTGACTATGATTTAGGTATCTTCTTCTTTGACATAACTTCATTCATAACTTCTAGCAATGGAAGATTCAACGATTCTTGTAGTGTTTTATAAAATTCCGCCGGAAGTCCATCTGGGCCTGGTGCCTTTCCATTGTTTTACTTCTTAAGTGCTTCAATTAACTCCATCATCGTTATATTACTTTCTAACATTATTGCAATCTCTTTAGGTATCTGGGGTAGGTTAGCATTCTGTAAGTACTGCTTAACTTTTTCATCATCAATATTCTCTTGTGTATATAGTTTCCCGTAATAGTCTCGTATAATTTCCTTCTCTTTGCTTCCATAGCAAACTTGGCTTGATCATCTATTAATTGCAATATTTTCCTTGATTCTTTCTCCTTTCTCAGTTTATATGCTAACCATCTATCTGGTTTATTTGCATCTTCAAAGTAGTTCTGTTTCGTGCCTCTGATTTTCTGTGCTAATTCTTCTTTTTCCATTAATCCCATTTTATGTTTAATTATATCCATTTTTAACTTAATGTCCTTTTTCTGTGGCATTTTCTGTAACTCTTTTTCAAGTTCTTTATACTCATCCTCTAATGTCTTAGAGGCTAGTCTTTTCGTGATATTTCTTTTCCTTGTATAGTCTATTATCAAGCCCGAGTACTCAAAGCCCTCTGCTTGATTTTTCAATCCCTTCATGAAGAACTGCGTAAATTAAAGAGGGAGGACAACAAGTTCAAAGGATGAATACTCATTTAATCTGCAGGCACCCCAGCTGAAAAGCTATTGTAACCCACAAAATTGAGCCTTACCTGCTGTGCAGAAAGCGTACAAATCAAAGTAAATATAAAAAAGAGATGCATCTCCTTGGTTGCTCTTCAGCTCCTTGGTGTTCTTCAAAGTGACTTTATTCAGCTCCTCTGCCACATTTTTATATCTTAATCCCTAGGCTCCTTACCAGAACTCAATGATTATATTGTTACTTGATTTACAAGGAAGTGCTAATCTTCCGTTGCATCATGCACAATTCCATAATCCAAGCTCAAACTGAAACTAAAAACTTGTATCTCTACTCTCCGTGAAGTTATAACTTCTTACAGGTTAACATATCATTCTGTAATTCTTCCATCCCACCTCATTCCGTTCCCTGTGAGGACCAAGTCTAATCTAGGCTTCTCTTGAGGAATATTTCTTCTAAAAGGAGAGGCATTTCATAGCTCCTTATTTGTGCTTTGTTTCGGGTGCCAAAACCCTGATATTTTGATTCATCAACCTTCTCCAAATGGTTTTAGGTACTCAGTGCTCTTTCCATCAGATGTCTTTTTATATTTTTTTAATCAGGGGTTAACTCACTTTCTCCAAACAAGAAGTTAATCCCTTCTGAAAGACTTCCAAAAGCAGCAAAAGACCTTTTGATGGACAACAGTGGCTTAATTGAACAGCTTTATGAAATACAAGGAAGCAACCCAAAAAAGTATCTAATACTGACAACACCATAAAGATAAGAATGAGTGGCCCCACAAGTCCCATCATATCATTGTATCTGCTGTGATCTTAGACAACAGAGCACAAACAGTTCCAAAATGGCACTGTGATAAACAGTTCACATCACATATGGGACTATTTGAGACAATAACTTGAAAGTAGCAAGGAATTTTATTAGTGTATTTGCAAATATGAGCCCAGTAAAGTGAACACGTCACTCACATTTAGCCCCTTTTATCCCCTTGCTCAAACCCATTTTCTCCCCCTCCCTTTTTGCTATCTCTCCCCAAAGCCCCCAAAAGCAGTTGTTGACAGTAAAGCCTTTCCCTTTTTCCAGGTTCGAATTTCCCGACTGGGAGGACGTGAGGTGGAAGGATTCGACGCAAGCTGCGTGAAAGCCAGATCTGGTTAATTGTTCTCAGGAAGGCAAGTGACCACAAGAACAGCGTTCCTGGGGCTAGCAACTTTCAACTGTAATCACATGGTGTTTTATACTCCTTTTTCCTTTGAAGCTGATCTCTAGTTTAGTTTACTTTACCTTATTGTCATTGCATCTCGTACAACAAAATTAAATACCATCTTCAGTGTATATTGACTGTGAAAATAAACACAAACACACCTCCTTCGCATTCTATACAATTGAATTGAAAACCCGATACTGCATTAATATTGCACTATATAGTAGAATTCAATAGAGTTACTGCCCTGGGATAGAAGCTGTTTTTCAGCCTGTTTGTCCTTGTGTGGAAAGGGAACTTCACAAGGACAGTGGTGTCACCCAAGCAGGAAAAGCCCAAAGGGAACATCAAGCCAGCCATAAAATAAACTTGCATAGGAAAAGGAATCAAGTAAAAGGTATTAAAGAAGCCCCTTAGACAAAAGCCCAAATAATTAAGAAAACTAAGGAAACAAGAAAAGAAAACCCTTACAAACACAAGACATGCCAAATCAGCAAAACAAACAGACAAAAGACACAAAATATATTGCAAAGGAGACAGACAGGAGATTGCCACAAAACAAATATAAGAAACCATTAAGCAAAAAAAAGTTTAGGACGAAACCGATAATCCAATCAAACCACCCCGCAAAGTTTGCCTTCTGCACCCCGCGGAGTTTACCCTCCGGCGGAAATGAATACAACCCCGACAGGATTTAAAACATTAAGAAATACAAACACAAGCACACACACACAAAAGGAGAGAAGGTATAAAAAATCAGGGACTTATCATACAAAGCTAGCTAGCCCAGGAACGCAGACTTCTTGCTATCTCTCGCCTTCCTGAAAAATAAAAAGATCCAGCTTTCAAGCAGTTGTCTGTATCCTTGCACCGGAGCTCTCCCAGTGGGAAAATCGAATCCTCAGAAGAAAGGCATTTTGACAGCCTTTCAACACTTGTTTTTATTATTCTGTACCGTCTACCAGATGGTAATAGTTCAAAAAAAAAAAAAGAAGAAGAAGAAGGGAGCCCAGGATGAGATGGATCTTTGAGAATGTTTTGAACTTTCTTAAGGCAGCAGGAGCTATAAAGCTCTTCCAAAGAGGGGAGAGGGCAGCCAAGGATCCTCTGGGCAATGACGTTAACCCTCTGGAGCGCTGTCCTATCTGCCCCGGTGCAATTGGCAAACCAGACACAGGTGGAGTAAATTAAGATACTCTCTATGGTGCAGCGGTGGAAGGTCACCAGCAGTTTTCCATTCAGTTGTTGTTTCCTGAGAAGTCTCAGGTAATCTAATCTCTGCTGGGCCCTTTTAACCAGGGCTGCAATGTGAGCCCCCCCAGGTAGGTGGGCTTTTGTATTTGTGATTGTTTTACTGGTTTTAATCCTGTCTGGTGATTGTGTCTTGAGAGCAATCTCTTGAGGAAGGAAGAGGAGTGAATGCTAGAGTGTTTGAGTGAGTAGATGTGCTTGAATTGTTTTTATCATCCAATCTTCACTTTCTAGCCCTTGGATAAATGTTTGTTCTTTATAATTAATCTTTTGTGTTTGTTTTCTGCAATGTCCTGGGCTTTCTGTTTGTGTTTAGATAAAGTAGTATTTTGTGTTTGCAAGGTCCCTGGCCTCAGGTTTGTTTTCCTTGTTATCATGGTTTACTTTTCTCTTTTCCTGCTTGTCCTGTTTCTTAATATATCTTTTGTTCTGTGTTCTGATATTTTGTAAATGTTTTCTTTTTTAATGTACCTAGAGCTCTAATTACTTTGGTTTGGTTTCTTTTCTTTTGGATGTTTGCTTTTTTTTTTTGCACTGCATCTTGTTAAAGCACTCTAACCCCCCCTCCCATTTTCCTGGTTCACAGTTTTAAACTTTTATTGCCCTTTTTGTTCCCTGTTTGCAGTTACTGCTGGCACCTTGCTTGCTTGTGGTTTGACATTTAGCTCTTTCCTGTTAAATGTCTTTAAAAACTGCTTATAATTGTTCTAGTTATTAACATCTTATGCTAAGCATTTTAAGAAGCAATACATACTTCATTTTGTTTTACATATAATGATTATACAGTATGATGATATATTCATTTATATCAGCACGAAACCAGAATCGGAGAAAATAACAAAAATTGCACAGAGATGTGGCAAAATCAAATAACCCTGGATAAATAGAAGGAAAACAGTGGATTTCAGGTCTTTTTGCATTTCTTTAAAATGTATTACAGGTAGTCTTTGACTTACAACAGTTCATTTAGTGACTGTTCAAACTTACAACAGCACTGATCATGTGATCAAAATTCAGATGCTTGGCAACTGGTTCATATTTATGACCGCTGCAGTGTCCTGGGGTGCCCTTCTGTCAATCAAAGTCAAGGGGAAAGCCAGATTTGCTTAACAAATGGGTTACTCACTTATCAACTGCAATGATTCACATAACAACTGTGGCAAGATCGGTCCTGGGGCAAAACTCACTTAACACATAACTGGAAGGTACCAACTTTATTTTAAAAATGCTTTGTATCTTCTACAGATCAAATTCAGAAGGCAGAAAAGTAACTCTGTTGCATTCCTTGATCAAGATGCTTGATTGAAAATGCTGCTTAATATTGTTCTTGAGTCTCTGATTGATTAATTGACTGATTGATTTACTGGAGCTTGTAGACCATTCAAATTCAGCAGGATTCGAAGTGTACTGGCAGACAGAGAGAGAGAAAAAAGGGGGGAAACTGTGCTGCTACTGATGTCTCCCCCGGCTCCATTGCTTAATAATTGATATAGGAAAGGGTCACGTCTCCTTTGATCTCAAGAGTGCGGATCTGTCTAGTCAAGGCATAACGATGGGCCAAGTTGAACAGGTGACGGCCACTGGTGTAAACCTTGAACTTGTGTCTGTCACAGCAGATCATGATCTGAGAAGGGAGGAAGGACATTAGTCTGGCAAATTAGCACATCTGGGCCACTTTTGATCCTCCAGGCAGGAGGGTCTGCCACCCACACCACCCACAGCTTACATCAAAATCAAAACGCATGTCCAGTTCATAAAGGGTGGATGTTCATTGAGAGGCATTGCAACTGCCACCCTCTTCCTTCCCCGTCCCGAAAAACCCCAAGGGCAATGCAAGGACAATTTTCCAGGAGACACCTAAAATCATGTTGTCAAGCTTTGAAGTTGCACTTTGGCTGTTACAACTATTGTCGCTTCTCGGCTCGCCCATGAACCGTTGGGGAGGGAAGGGGGAGATGGAATGTGGGCTCCAGACATCAAGAAGCCAGCCATGAGAACCAAGGACACTTTGGCAGGTGTTTACCAGAGCCAAAAGACTTTCTCACAACAATACCAGGAGACTCCATTGGACAATGTGACCTGATCTAACAGGGGGAAGGAGAATCTAAACTTTAACTAGGTGGGTTTGCGCGGGAAATAGTTAGATCTGGCTTTGCCCTCATCTTTGCCAAAACGATGTACTCAATAAAGTTTTGCGTTAAGAGGTGGTATTGTCTCGGCCATGCTTGCTTTGGTTGAGTTTGTCAGTCAGAAGGTTGACACATGGTTCTCAATGCCCTCTTTTCCAGCAGAGATTCAGATTTCAACTCCTGAAAGCTGTACTCGCTGGGAATTATGGGGGGTGGAGTCTTACACTTTTGGGAAGCACCTGCTGGGTCTTCTCTTTCCTCCACACCACCTGCCTTCTTGTCGGCCAACCAAAACAAGCTCTTTGATGGGATCCAGGGCTGTCCATTCAAGTCAGGTAAAATAGGGGCGATAGCATCAGATGTGGCTGCCATCTTGACTTTTGTGACCTCCTCCCTATTGATACTCCTTCCTACTGGAATCGACCAACTCACCTCAAAGTATTGCTCCAATTGGAAAGGGTTAAAGGGCAGATCATTTTTCTCGGCTCCCCACTCGCCATTCAGATAATAGTTGTACACCAAATATCTCTGTGGTTTCATGTGTGAATTAAGGTGCAGAGCAATATCCTTGCCAACTATTAATCTGATTTCAAACCTTGGAAAGAGTTTTTAAAAAAGCAGACATCTGAGATTAGACCTTGGAAGTACTAAAAGGAAATCTGATCCCCCTCCCCTTTAATCCATTAGCAGCCTGACAGTTCCCTCCATGGGAGAAGGCTAAAAGAGGGGGGGGGAATCTCTTTTCCTCTTTGTAAATATTATTTATTGGTAGGCTGTTGCTGAATGTTTTAAGTTCTAGTTATTATTTTAGGTATTTATTCATTTCATTTACGTTCTGCCACAATCAAAGCAACTTTTTGTGAGCAATAAATGAGAGACACATATGAAAAAATGCATATTCGGCAGCAGTCTACTAGTGAGTAGCATTGTTCCAATGAAGACCAGCTGATCTTGCCTAATGGATTATTCTGGTCCTAATCATTCTTTACAGCCGCCTCCTGAGCTAGAGTTCCTTAAATCAGTGGTCGACAACCAGTGGGCCGCGGCCCACTGGTGGTCTGTGAGAAAATTTTGGTGGTCTGCCGAGAAATGTCACCCCTAGAACACCACCCCCCAAAAGCAATTAATCCAGGCTGCACGGGAAGACAAGGCTGCTCAGCCCACATGGCCAGCAGGAACTCTCCCCACCCACTCACTCCTGACCTGGCAAACTTGCCTGCTACGTTTCCATTTTTCCTTTTATTTTCCCTGACCATCAGCTGTTCTGCTGTGCCGGGAGATTTAGATTAGCTAGAAAGCAGGAAATTGTTGGATTTCTTACTTTCTAGCTAATCTAAAAGCAGAACTGAGCCTGAAGCTTCTATTATTCAGTGCAGACTCAGGTAACCTGTGGCAGAAACACAGATCTCTCAGTGAATCTGTGATTCTATGAGCAACTCAATCTGCCTGCCTGCTCTGCCTGATTTTGGGTAAAAGTTGCTCTTTTTTTATAAAAAAAAATCAATATTTACATACATGGTGTGTTGTGAATTAATTTTGTGAGTTTACTTGCTAGCAAATTTTATGTGACAGACTCAGGTAGCCGATGGCAGAAAGATAGATCTCTGAGTGAATCTGTTATTTTGTGAGCGACTCAATCTGCCTGCCTGCTTTGCCTGATTATGGGTAAAAGTTGCTCTTTTTTTATAAAAAAAATCAATATTTACATAAATATTTATAATATTTACATACAAGCCATGCCCAGCCAGTCACATGACCACTAAGCCATGCCCACAGAATCAGTTGTTAAGAAATTTGAATCCTACCCCTGCCTCTGTGTGTTGGTGTATGTATGTGTGAGAGAGGGAGGGAGAGAAAGAGGTTAGATCACATCTCTCTCTCCCACCAACGTGAGCAAGCCACAATCAATCAAAATTCATATTAGTGGTCCCTGGGATTTAAAATTATGAGTTTGGTGGTCCCTGAGGTCCAACAGGTTGGCGACCCCTGCCCTAAACAATTAGCCAATCCTATCATGACATGTCAGATGTCCCCCTTTGGGCAACTCTGCCCTTAGGTAACTGCCTTTTCTTCTTGTGGCAGTGAGTTCCAAAGATTGCATGTGTGGAATTTGCTTCCACTCCCCTTCACCTCCTTATCCTCTGGGCTGACGCTACGGGTGTACAGAGGAGATGGGAGAGTCAGAGAAAGGGGATCAACTGGGAAAGGACTACGAAGGGCCCTAGCACTGGTGCTTTGCTGTGTCAAATCCAAATCAGCCCTGCAAAAAAAAAGAGAGACCGGAGACCTGGTAGCATTCTTCGGAATAAAGCCTCGCACTGTGATGGTCCTGTTGGTTTCCAGTCCTCCGGGAATGTCGCCCCTGTAGGGCACTGGCTGAAATAGACAAGAATCCAGGTTACACTTAGCACCCCCTGTCCAAGCGTTCAGTTCTTGTGTGCTAGCTGGGGGGTCAGAGTAGTTGCAGTCCAGTAGGTCTTGGGCTGCCAAGTGGGAGACCCACAAGGTGGCAGAAAGCAGCTTGTGAGATCTTATCTCACACCTTATCTTTGCCTGCATTCCTCGTGGTTACAAGCATCTCTGCCTTTCACCAGGCAAGTAATTTTTGGCCTCAATAGTAAGACACCAGCTGAGTTCAAGTGTTTGTTTGCTCAGTAGGCTTTGGTTAGCTTGAACAGAAGTACCCAAGCAATGTGCAATGCACACAAAAAATAGGTAGGGCTATCATGGTGTTGGCATGGCTGCTCAGTTTTATTTATCAAACCCCGTGAAAGCCCCTTGGTTTATGGCACCATAACAGACTGCGTTTGTAGATCAAATCATAAACCTTGATTCTAACAGCTGGCTTCCTTGTGCAGATTTTAATGTGAGGGAAATGGATTAATATTAGCCCCCTTCTCAACCAAAAAGCTCAACCAAAAAGCTAATTTCCCCTTAAATATTACACTCACTGTTGCTTCCCCCACCCCCTCTGATTTTATAAGCTTGTGAGCCAAACCAAACATTAAACAGGTGAGAGAGGCTGAGTTAGCAAGTCTTTGGATACTTACTGGGTAGTAGATTGCAGAGCCTGTCAACAACTGTTGGGAGAGAAATCCAAAGACGGTGTTAAAAAATCCATTTTTTTTCTCCTTAGCCCTGGATGTCCTTGTCCATTCCCCGCTGCCCCCCTTTTTTGTGCTGTCCCCTATGCAGTTCAACAACTTGCCCTAAAGGACAGGAAGGCAATAGCCGCTGCATTTGTGTGGCACAATCGCTCAGCTCCCTTGAAGCCTTTGTGGTTGCTTTGTAACAGTTGTTCAACAGAGTTATAACCTGGGTTGATATTAGCTTAGCCTGTTGCAAATCATTCTATTGGGTGAATGGAGGAAATGGACTGTGTTATGTTAACCTTGTGGTGTTCAAATGTGGCAGGAATTCTATAGTGTTACAGAGGCAGAAAAAAGAACAGCGAAGTCATGGCCCAGGCTCTGGATTCAGATTCTGAGTAGGAGGTTATCCAGCTGATCCTGCGGACTGTCAGCCTCAGGAAAAACCAAGTCAGACATCACAGGAGGCTGAGGAGTCACAGGCACCCCAAGCTGCTGGATGTGCCAGGACAGGATGGCATAAGGCTTCTCACTCCCCACACCAGATTAGTAGAAAAGAGAGCAGAGCAGAGAAAGTCTATTGGGCTACTCACCAAGCAAAGGAAGAGACCTTCTATTCTGCTCTGCCTCGGTTCCCTTTGCTAGGAATTGTGTGTGGATTCTGCTTCTTGAACTTTTGATCTTTGGATTGTCTGATAACTTTGTTCAAGCTCTGAAACCTTGAACTGAGTCTGAACAAATCTTCAGCATGTTTCCATTCACAAAGAAAACTTTACAGGCAAGCCTCCACTTCTTTTGCATTCCTTTGTTCAGTGTGTAACTGTAACTTGTAGTAAATTGATCATCACCCAAGAAACTCTGTTTGTGTGTGAGAAACTTGCAGTAGGACAAGCAACTGATTAAGACACAATTGGGGATTGTCCCCTTCATTGTACAAAAATGTAGAAAGATATTTGCACCAGACCAAAAATTACATTGTGGCCTTGGCTCAACCATCTTTTCTGGATGTTTCACAGAAGGTTATCACTCCATGTCTCAGAGTCTGGCTCTTCAGTGGGGAAAGCACATAAGACAGACTTCTAATATTCTGACTGAAGAGGCAGGCTGCCCTGTTCGGCCATTGCACACATCCTGGCTGTTTGTGTTTGTTAATAAGGATGTGCAAGTGTCTGCTAAGCCATTCAGGGAGTTGAGCCACCCACAACTTAAAGTTGCCAAGTTGAGAAACTCTGCTTTATGGACATTTGCAAGGGGAAGTGCAGGATCTTGGCCTGGGGTAAAATTGCTCTCTGTGCAGTTGCTGGTCCTAGTCTCACCATAGGGTTTTATTTTATTTTTTTGGCTTGCGTGCAGAGTTGTAAGCCAAGACGACTGAAGACCAAAAGGAGCTACAATTCTTAAGGATTAAGAAAAATGTCCAAGAAGAAAAACTGGAGGGACAAAAGAGAAAGTGACAGCTTGGGGATTGAACCAACTCAGTATTTATTCCTAAAAAGAGATCAAGGGTCAGGAGGTGCCAACTTGTGGATAGAAAACACTTACCATGTTCCTCTCCATTTTTCTTCCCACCACGATCATAGACTGCAACACCAGGTTTCCCCCAAAGTTAATGGACTTTAGAAATTGGGGGGAGATTCTGTGCTTGAATTTGCAGAATGGGTTTCCATTCACCAGGACCTGTCAGAGGACAAAGCAGAAGTGATAACGTCTCAGTTGGGATCGCCCATTTTCTTTGTACAAAACCAGGAACACCAGAGGTGGTGTTCAACCAGTTGGCACCTATTCGGGCGAACCGGTAGCGGTTATTTGGTGTGGGTTGTCGAACCAGTGGCGACCTCTGGCAGGCCATGCCCCCAACTCGGTCGCCTGGTCGCTCATTTGCCCTGATCGCTCTCCTAGCTTTCCGTTCCCCATGTCCTCTTTCTCCCCGGAGGGAAAGGAAGAGAGGCATGGATGCTGCAAGTATCGCTTTCCCCTTGTGAGTTAAAGTGCCTGGAGTGAGAAGGAGTGTGGTCTGACAGAGGGGGTGGGGGAATCCACTCCAGCCTTGGAGAAAATTAAAGGAGCTGCTTCAAAATGCATGTCTGTTAAGTTACAAAAGTGCTCCATGTATATGTGTGTGTGTGTGTGTGTGTGTGTGTGTGTGTGTGTGTGTGTGTGAGAGAGAGAGAGAGAGAGAGAGAGAGAGAGAGAGAAGAGAGAGAGAAGAAGGGAGAGAAAGAAAAAAAATAGGAAGAGAGAGAGAGAAAAACTGTGCTATTATTTTTAATTGTTCCATTATTTTTCATGTGTTAATATTTTACACTGTCCCTACACCTAGAGTGATTTTTCTGCCTTTCCTTTGCCCAGGGCTACCACATATTTTTCAGGGTTTACATGCATTCAGTGTCAATAGTCCAGAGCATAAAATACACATGTGTTTAACAAGAATTGAAAGGGACTTTGGAGGTCTTCTAGTCCAACCCCCAGCTCAGGCAAGAAAACTGAGGATGCCAAACTCTGAGTAGAGAACTTGGGAACGGTGTCAGAATAATACTTAGAAGGGACCTTGGGGTGAACCCTATACCATTTCAGAGAAATGGCTGTCCAGTCTTTTCTTAAAAACTTCCAGTGATTGAGCACCCAGAACTTCTGGAGACAGGCAGTTCCACCGTTCTCACTGTCAGGAAGTTTCTTCTTAGTTTTAGGTTGCTTCTCTCTTTGTTCAGTTTCCATCCATTGCTTCTTGTTTGCATTCTGCTTCTTTGGAAAATACATTGTCCCCCTTTCTTTGTGGCAACCCCTTAAGCCTGTTGCCTATCACACTCTTGGGTAAAACATGTGAGCCATTTCCTCCTTTCAGTGGTACTTTCATGAAAGTACATCTATAGTATGCAGATAATAAAGTCAAAAAAGGTGAATAACATTTTTACAGAACTATAGATGAGTTGAGGCTGGGTGACAAGGAATGGCTGGGAGGGGAGGGGCCAGGTGAGGCACCCCTTGATGTGAGTGACATTGAGTTGGCCATACCCACCCAGTCACATGACCACCAAGCACACCCACACAGCCACATGACCACTAAGTCATGCCCACCCAGTCACATGATCACCAAGCCATGCCCACCAAATAAGCCACACCCACAGAACTGGTAGTAAAAAAATTGAATCCCACCACTGAGGAACACCTGCCACCCCAAAGCTGAGCAGAATAAGCAGAGTCATAGAGGAGATCAAAATGGTTAAAATGAGTACATGTAAAAAGGGAGAGTCCTTCATTCCCCTCTGGACCAAAAGCTTTTCCATTTCGCAGCAGGTCGTCCTCATTTAGTGACTGTTAGCAGTTAGGATACTGATGAAATAGTAACTTTGCAACTAGTCCTGGCATTTGACTGCAAAGAAAGGCAGAAATCTAATAAAAAACCAGTCAAGTTTTTGACCCCATTGATGACTAAGTTGCTGGCCCCGTTTCACTAAACAAGGACTGCTTGCACATCACTTAAACCCTATCTGAAAATATAACATTGAGAAGGTCAGTATTAAACACATTCATAGTTCCAGACAAATGGGGAATTTTGTGGGGTGGGGTGGGGGGGGAATGAAGGAGCTCCTGCAGTCCCAAAGGAGCCTCTGTCACGTGTATCAACCTGGTATTCGGCTTCATTGACAATGAAGATGGCCTCAAAATGCTCGCCCTTCCGGAAAGGCATCTTGTGAACCTCTTCTTTTCCCCATCTGCCGGACTGACATGTGTTGAGCACAACGTACTGCTGAGGAAAGCGAGGGTTGAAGTGTAAGAGAATATCTTCATCACAGAGAAAGTTCATCACGAACCTGGAAGGAAGAGAGGAAAAGAGAAGAGGAATATTAAAAGGGAGGTGTAGGAATCTCAGAGTAGAGTTCTCATTGCCCCCTTCTCCTTTTCCTGAAGCTAGAATCCACAGGAGGCTGGGTTTTTGCTTGAAGAGAAGAATCAAGTTCCTAGCCATCGTGGCTTAGTTGGAGTTGGAAGAAACAGGAAGTAGAACCATCCAAAGAATTAAGGAAAGCTTTAATCTTGGCACAGAATGGTTTAACCTTCTCTTAACAACATGATAATCTTATTAGCAAGGTAGCCACTTGCCCTTCCTGGAAGCCACCCCAAAAATGTTACCTGGTAGCTTTTTTGGGCACCGTGCCTTCAATATATACAGCCATCCCAGGATGGAGTCCACCAGAGACAGGGTGATCGTAAGGGTGAGTCTGGAAGACAGAAAATGATGAACCAAACTAATGACTTCATTGCAAAACACAACTTTGACTTTCAAATCAGCCAACTGCAACCTGTGCCTTTCTGTGAGGTTCTGAGTCAACCAAAGACCTCCTGGGAGGGCCTCTGCTAAGGATTAATTCCCCAACGTGGCAAGGAAGGAAGGCTGGAGGAAGCACCAGAACTGCAGCCATGGACTGGTTCTGCTTTAGCTCTGTGGGGGACAGGTAGAGGCCACCAACTGCATTGAGACCACAGCATCTCCTGGACAAGGTAGGGAAGTCCCATGGGCCGCCTCCCATGGACAGCTTCCCACCCAGGCTAATCTTGTGCTTCCAACATGTTGGCCCTCAAGTTCCAGAATTTTTACCAGTCCAGATCACATACAGGATGATGGGCATTCTAATAACAGATGAGACAATGTTCTCATCCCTTTCATTTTCCCTGAACGTTCCCAAGGAACAACCAGGCAATGGAAAGGTGCCTAGCAAACATCTGAAACCTGCCTGTTGGTCCAATCAGACATCTTAACATTATCAAGTTGAGAAACACTGCTTTATATTCATCTACGTACAAGAGGTAAAACAGGATCTTGGCCTGGGGTAAATTTGTACCCTGTTCAGATGCTGATTTTAGCATCACTTTAGGATGGATATTTTTGCTAGCATGCAGAGTCGTAAGCCAAGGCAACTGAGGACCCAGAACGGCCACGATTCGTAGGGATGAAGAAAAATGTATGAGAAGGACTGGAAAGCAGAGAGAGAAAGCAATAGGTTGAGAATTGAATTTTCAGAATCAGTCTCCAGAGAGAGATCAAGGATCAGGAAGTGCCAACTTGTCAATATCAAATACTTACCTTGACTTGTCCTCCCATCATGGACAGAGATTGCAGTTCCAGGTTTCCATCAATGCTAATGACCCGGATGTTTTGTGGGGGGATTCTGTGGCTGTAGTTGCATAAGGTGTTCCTGTTCACCAGGACCTGTCAGAGGTCAAAGCCAAAGGCATCAAGTCTCACTTGGGATCTGCCACAAAAAAGAGGGGGTCAACGTATTTTACAAAGCACCAGAGGGCAGGACAAGAAGCAATGGTTAGAAACTAATCAGAGAGAGAAGCAACCTGGAATTCAGGAGAAACTTCCTAACAGTGAGGACAATTAGCCAGTAGAACAGCTTTGCCTTCAGAAATCGTGGCCTCTCCATCACTGGAGGATTTTAAGAAGAGATTGAACAGTTGCTTGTCTGAGATTGCATAGGGTCTCCTACTTGAGCAGGGGCTGAACTAGAAGACCTTCAAAGTCCTTCCAGTTCTGTTCTATTCTATTCTGTTCTATCCCTATGCTACTCTAGGGTGAATTCTGAAGGGGGAACAAAGAGGCACCTGCAGCCCCAAAGGGGCCTCTGTCACGTGTACTAACCTGGTATCCGAAATCATGGATAATCCAGAGGACCTCGAAGTGCTTGCCTTTTTGGAAGGGATTCATGAGTTTCTCTTCCTTTCCCCACCTGCCATCCTGAAATGTGCTGAAGCCAACTGTCTCTCCATTAATGTGAGACCTGAAGTGGAGGGGAACATCATCCCCCTTTTGCTGGCCACAGGCAAACTCCACCTGGAAGTACACCCAGGTTCTGGAAGAGAGAGGAAAAGACAAGCAGAAAATTAAATGGGAGGTGCAGGAATCTCAGAGTAGAGTTCTGCCCTCTCCTCCTTTGCCTTGAAGCTGGAATCTGTAATATTCTAATTTGTTGGTTTAAGAGAAGAATCAAGCTCCTAGCTCTTGTGGCTTACTTGGAGTTGGAAAAAGCAGGAAGCGGAACTATACAAAGAATTAAGAAAGGGTTTTATCTTGTCATGCAATAGGATAATACAATCTAGTCTTGACATAATAAACTTATCACTATTATTTTCAGTGAGGTAGTTCTTGCCCTTCTTTGAGCCCCCAGAGAAATCTTACCTATTGTGTTCGGGCACTGTGCCTTGCATATATACAGACATCCCAGGATGGAGTCCGCCAGGGACAGCTTGACCCTGGAAGGCAGAAAATTATGAACCAAGGCAATGAATTTACTGCAAAACACAATGTTGTCTTTTGAACCAGCCAACTGCAACCTGTGCCTTGTAGAAGCCTTTCTATATGGCTTCCAAGTCAAACAAAGAACTCTGGGAGGGCCTTTGCTGAGGATTAATCCCCCCAACATGGCAGAGGAAGGAAGGCATGGAGGAAGCACCAGAACTGCAGCCATGGACCTGTTCTGCTTTTTCAAGAAGGAGAAAAAACGGTCACCCTATGTCATAGATGCCTTTGAACGAATATTTTGGCTCTTCCTGTTTTGATGATGCTCTGCGGAGTCTGGAGATGCTTTTGGTTTAGGCGGAATAAAGATAAGAAGGGTGCTTTCCTCAGGTCAAAGAAGAATATGAAAGAAAGCAAAGACAGAAAATAAACAGAAGCCACTTACAGTTGTTCCATCTTCATCATCAGTGAATACACTCTAAAATGGAAACAAAGGATGCCTTTATAATTAAGGTGTGGCAGTGTATCCTATCAGGATTTGTGTGCATCAGGCCTGGGCCACTACAGTTTGTTTAAATCAAGAAAGAGTCCATGAGGGCCATAGAGGGTATTAACACCAATGGGATGGCTTGAGCAGACTAGATCAAACCAAAAGAAATATGCAACATCAACAAAGAGACAGGCCACCTAACAACCGCGGTGACCAAGGAAAAGGCTACTGTCCAATAATCTAAAAACACATGACTTCTCTCTCCATGCTGTCATTGCCATCTTCAATATTACATAGGCATATCATATTTTTATACTTATACTTTCATTACTCAGATAGGAAACGTATTTCTTATCATAACATAGAATGATTAGGACCGAACAGACACCTTCTGGAAAAGTACAAATATTGATGGAGTTTCTTGACTTTTTCTTTTAAGCTTTTCTTCTAAGCTCCGGGGAAGACTTATGAAGCCAGAATCTCTCATAATTCTCATAATAGTCATAATGATGCTCTCCTTTAAATACCCTCAAGAATTTATAGTTTTCTCCACTCCTCTACTCGTTGCAGAATACCTTATGCCAACAGAATCAAAATTCTAGACCTACAAAACCTAGAACTATACCGCCTTCGGTCCGGTCTAAGTATAGTACATAAAATCATACATTGCAATGTCCTACTTGTCAATGAATACTTCAGCTTCAACCATAACAACACAAGAGCAAACAATAGATACAAACTCAAGGTTAATCGCACCAAACTTGATTGCAGGAAATACGACTTCAGCAACAGAATGGTCAATGTCTGCAATACTCTACCTGACTCGGTGGTTTCTTCCCCAAACCCCAAAAACTTTAACCTTAGACTGTCTACTATTGACCTCACCCCTTTCCTAAGAGGTCTGTAGGGGACATGCATAAGCGCACCAACATGCCTACCGTCCCTGTCCTATTATTTCTTTTTGTTTTTCTTATATGTATCCATTTCATGTATTCATAACTATGTTTATACTTACACCTGTTACCTTGTAAGCGATTGACAAATCAAGTAAATAAATAAATAAATTTCTTTTTTTAAAAAAAAAAAACAAATTTTATTAATTTTACAGACAAATAAAGCATCATTAAACATTAAAGACATTGAACCTCTTTCCATTATAAATTTTACAAGGCAAATAAAACATTGTTTTATACAATGCAATTCTAGTATATCCCATTTCCACTTAAATATTTTTTTAACAAATTTCTCATTATTTCTCTTTACTCTTATTCAATTACATTTCTTCTATATTTATCCATTTTATACTCATCATATTCATATTTCCCTCTGCCTTGTTTACAAATATTCCTCTCGCTTTCTCCCAAGGTTTTATTAAATCTCAATCAGACATACACACACAAAACACAAAAACATAAAACTTCTTTTTAAAAAGTAGCTTGGCCCCGGATTACCTCTCTTTGTATGGACTTCAATTAAATTCATGTTCAGCTTATATGCCATTACCTATCTTATTACCCTTCTATATCTTTATTATAACTTCTCCCCGCTTTCCACTCTTCTTAATTCTATTTTATTTATTTCATCTTAATTTAAATCATTATATTTATATCTTTTGTCCATTCTTTTTAATTATCCATTTATCTCATTCATATTAAAAAAAAAATATTTCTCCTGAAATCACCAATCGAAGTATGATGCCTTTCCATCGCTCCCCACATTAACATTTAAGGTAACACCTAATTCCCTATCCAATTCTGCTTAGTACATTCTACTTAGTAAAATAGTAAATCCATAAAGTAATTAAATATATAATTAAACATTAAATCTCATAGCATTCCAATTATCTATTTCAAAAACAAATACCATAATAATAAGTTCATACAAACATCCACACAATAGTCAATTAAACTCTATACTTAAACTAAATGTTTTAGACATTCCTTTTAATATTTTATTAAATCTTAAAATCTGTCATTATTAAACCTTTAATATTTTAATCTTTACTTAAGCCTTATGAAATTCTAATTTTCTGATTCTCATACAAATACTACAATACTATCATGTACCTTGCAGAAACATTTTAAAACAAAGTTGTGCATTACCCATTATCCATAAAAAAAAGATTTCTTCTCCACTCCTTATTTCATGCCTTTTTGGCTTTTTCCCCCCTTCTTCCTTTCTATCTTATCCTATCTGGTCTTTTTACCCCCCTTCGCTCCCCCCCTCTGTTGCATTTCTCTTTTCTTTTGCTTTCTAGCAGTATATTGAATTTGCATCTTATTTTTCTCTTTCTTGGATGTTTTTTTTTTAAATCTTATGTCTTTTTCCTTCCTCTCTTTTTCCCTCCTTTCTTAATCAGCTTTGTAAATTTTGTAGACTCATTAAAGATGGCTTCTTCTTCTTCTTCTTCTGTATCCTCCATTAATTGCTGCGTTTGTTGATAAGTTTGTTGATAAGCAAAAAATTTCTCTCACACCGTCTTTACCTTCTTTTTTTATTCTACCATAGTCCTCTCTCAGTTCATCAACAAATAAAGCCATTATAAACCTTTTTTTCTTCTTTTTTCTCTTCTTCTTCTTTTTAAAACAACCAAGATAATTCAAAACTTAAAACAATTCCCCAAAATCCCAAATCCCAAAGTCATCAAACAATCCAAACAGAACACAAAGTTCTTCACACTTTTTCTTCCTGGGGTAATATCAGTTGGCAAGGGAAAAAAAAACCCTATCTGTATTTTAAAGTCTTATTACAATTAACTTCCAATCTCAAAATCTTCCAGGCATCTCCTCCAGCAAAATCTTAATGAAAATTTTCTTTTTGTCCTCTCCCTTCCCACTTATAACAAAAAGCTTTGAGTTTTTACCTTCTATAAAATAGCAGGATTTTCAATATCCATTTGTTAAATCCATGTGGAAGGAGAGTAAACTTTCTCTTAAAACACTTTCACTCGCCGCTTGTAAATCTCTTCTGGAAACAAAGTATCTTTCAAAAAAATCCAAATTTTTAGGATATTACTTGTATTACTTGTATCTTATAGTCCAGTTCAGCCAAGAAACTTTCGCTTCAACACTTTCTCCTTCTTCCTCCAGCACAATCTTGTCCAGCTGTCAGCTTCTTTGTGGCAGCCATTACAGACCGCCGCTCCACCGCCTTGAGAAAGAGGGTTAAGCCGGGTGGGGAAGGGGTCTGCGAAGACCCCAACCCCCTGTCCTGATCCCTCCTATCTTGGGCTGCCTCTTCATGGCAGCCCTAGCCTCCAGATCGATGGATCGGAGGCATCAAAGCGGCTAGCGCGGCAGGGATCGCGCAGGATCGCAAATCCCTGCCGCTCGCGAAGCCGACAAACCGGAAGTCCAATAAATAAATAAATTTCTGAAATGTATGTAAATCCTTGAGGGGACGGGGGGGGGGGAGCAGTCTGCAGAGTAACCCTATCTCAAAAAGATAACATTGAAAACAGCAGAAATTAGACGTTAAGTGCATCTCTACTTACTATCAGTTTAGACAATCCTTTGTCATCCTTAGCTTTCTTCATAATAGGTATCATCTTTTCTCCGACTGACTATAAAGAAGAAGAAAAAACATTACGGATTCCTTCATAAGTTGTGCCAGTACATGATAGGTGTGGGCCTTGCCTGGGCCGCTGCAGCCCACTAAAATAAACTGGTGAGCTCTTGAAGGCCATGGAGGATATTGATGTGAATGGCCTCACGACACCAGAGTAGGAACATAATGCTATATCTTCAAGGCAGGCAAAGTCAAGGAAATGGTTGGGATTGCAGGAAAAATGCTATTATATATATCAGCAAAATCCTAGAAGCTTATCCAAAACTTCATTATTCTTTTTCAAGGAGAACAAAGCCAAGCTGGTTTCCAAAGCAAATTCTGATTAAAATTAATCCTGGGAAGCAAAATGAGGAAATGCATCTCATAAGGAAAATTGCATCTGACAGAAAGACTAGTTGAGCCAACAATTTACCATTTTGCAGAGAGAAGAACCACAAGTTGGGGAAGCACTTCCCATCCCCAAGTTGTCCCTTGGAGACAATTCCAAAATATATGTTTCTCCCTTTGCTGTTCAGAACCCAGGGGAGCCATCACTCCAGTTTAAGAGTCAGTGTTTTTTAGGGGATGTAATAGGTATTTGAAGCTGCTTCACATGAAACAGGTGAAATATTTTGGCCTGCCTACTCAGTTTTTGCTCCAAAGTCTCTGAAGATAGTAAAAGAAGATGGCATTCTAGCGGGTATGAATAACGAAAGGCATGTTGTATGGCATACAAGAAGAATATTACTCAAAATAGTCATGGAATACGAAAAAAATCTACTTACTATTATCTCATAATTTGTAACGTGATCTATATTCTGTAAAGGAAACAAAAGGTATTACTTTTATTTTGAAAAGATATCACACATGATTTCTTCAACAATGCCATCACTATAATCTTTGATATCGTATAAGATTTAGGCTTTACTATAACTTTTTGGGGGGGGGGAATCATATGAAAAATTCCTCT